TCTTTCCTTCCCTTTCTTTCCTTCCCTTTCTTTCCTTCCCTTTCTTTTGCCTCCAGCCAGAAGAGGAGGACACTGCAGGCACAATGGCTTTCTTTCTCAAACCACGGCCATGCACATGGGACCTTGCCCTGGACTACCACACTGCCAAACAGTTTGAAGGTAATCAAAGCAGGAGCAAAGTACTAATTCCTGGTGTTTTCTGGGGCTACATCAAATGAGATGTCTAATGAGTTGGAGATTCTCCAGCTCCACCTTCTGTATCTCTGGGTCCTCCGTCTACAGCCTCCGTGTCTTGACTCGTCCATCTCCAACCTGGCCCAGAGATCCTCCATCTCCAGCATCCATATTTTATCTCTTCCTTCTACAGTCTCAACTGGAGAGTCTCCTTTTCTTGACTTCTCTGTCTCCAACCTGAGTTGGATATCCTCCATTTCCAACCTCCACCTCTTCACTCTTCCATCTCCAACCTCACCCCTCCTCTCTCTTTCTCTTTGAAAAGTCGGCAGTGACTTTTGAATCAGGTTTTTGGGTGCCTCCTCTACACTTAAATGTGGCTTCTGATCCCTTCTCTGTCTTGCTTTTCAGTGGATGTGACCCTGGATCCAGCCACAGTGGGTCCTGAGGTGATCCTCTCCGAGGACCTCAAAGAGGCCACTTGGGGCAGACCTCAGCGCCGGTGGCCTGAGGGTCCCAGCCGGTTCGACACAGATCCGTGCATGCTGGGCAGCGAGGGCTTCACCTCAGGCCGTCACTACTGGGAGGTGGAGGCCAATGGGCGCTTCTGGACCGTGGGAGTGGCCCGTGAGTCGGTTCAGAGGAAAGGCCGTGTCCTCTTCAAGCCCAGCGCTGAGATTTGGGGCTTGCAGAAGTATGATGAGCTCTGTGTTGCCCTCACGGCTCCATCCAACACCTCCATCCCACTCCTCAATGGGGAGATTGGGGTCTACCTGGACTACGAGGTGGGACAGGTCTCTTTCTATGCTGTTGGCAGCCGCCAGTGCATCTTCACCTTCTCTGTGGCTTCCTTCAGTGGAGAGAAGGTCTTCCCCTACTTCTGTGTGCTCCTCTCAACCATCAAATTGTCCCCCAAGGGCTGATGTGCTGACAGGGTCGTTCCACAGCTGGTTGCACCATGGTGTTTGGAATGCTCCTTGATGCTCCTCCAGTCTTCTCTTCCAGGTCTTGGAGTCCTTTCCAGCTCAACTCATGGTCCTACCTTCATCATAGATGTCTTTATTTTGGGTTATGTCCAGGGGATTTTGAGTCTGCGCTCAGCACAGCTCGTCTCATCTCAAAGCCACTGTCATTAAATTCATTCAAAGCTTGTTAACAGAAGCAGGGCTACGCTGAACTGGTTTTGACCTGAAAACTTGACCTTTCCTCCCAGATAGCCTTCTCTGATAATTCCTTTGCTGACCCCAATGCCCATCACTGGCCAGGCTTCCAACCCAGATTAAAAATCTTAATTTTTGCAGGTTTTGCGTTAATGCCAGCTGCTGCGTCATTTTAAAACTGATTTTGTCATCACAAGGCTGTGCTCACGCTCACTTCCCCCACTCTTTCCCTCTCCATGCTCAGGATGTATTTCCAAGTAATTAACATGCAATTTATATAAATGTGCTCAGAATATAATAAATTTTTTTTCTAAGAAGCAGGAGGCGTCTGCATTTGACCTCTCACCAAGTTGCCCTAGACCTAAAAAGACCCCCCAAGGCTGCCCTAGCCCCCAGGATCCCCTAGGACTGCCCTATGTGGGTCTCCAAAGGTTGCCCTTTCCCATCAACACCTTGTTGGTCCCCTGGTACCCCCAAGAACCCCTCATGCAGGGGATTCAAAGCCTTTTTGAGGTTTGGTGCAGCAGGTATCTGAGTGTGAGAAGCCCTCCCTTCAGCACCCAAGGAGCTGACACAGAGGTTTTTAGCCCGTCTCATCCCACTGCCCTTGCCTGAGCTCTGCAGCTCAGGTTTATTACAAATCCAGCTCCTCTCAGTGCTGCAGTAGGAGGAGCTGAGTCCGTTGTCATCCAGGTAAGCGCAGAGCCCACCACCACGGATTTGAAACCTGGAAGGACAGAGGAGAAAATCCCCCTCAGACAGGCTCAGCAGGAAAAAGGAGAAAAGTCACACATAGGCTTCCCCCCATTTCAGTTCTCGGGCATCCTTTTGGGCATCAACATGCCAAAATATCAATATATATTTCTTATATAGGAGTAGAAATTATTCAGCATCAATATGCCAACACTGATGCTGATTTATTTCTATTTCTAATAAGAAATCCAAAGCTTTGCAAGAAAAAAAAGAACTTACAATAAAACATCTAATCTCAGTATTTTCTCACCAAACACACCACTCCCATATCTTAGGTCAAGGAGAGAAACAAGATGCAGTGTTGCCCTTCCCAAACATCACTGTCCCATTACTGCCTCTGGATGCACCTCAAGTGCCAGAAGAAATGCACATTTCGTGGCTGGGGAAACACCAACCAACAACGTAACGATGACAAACACAGACTCACAAGTGTGATAAAAGTGAGTGGTTCACCCATTGCCATGGCTGCTCCTCATCTTTCCGCAAAAGGCCAATCCAATGCTCTGAAATGCCTTTATATCTCATCACAAAGCTCTAAAAAAGAGGAAAAAAGGTTTTTACCTCCTTCTAACAAAAAATCTCCATTTTACCAGTTGTTTGTGCTCCTTTAGGGCTTCTTTGGGGCTTGAACCTTTCCATCTGCTAACAAGATGTGTCACCTAGCTACAGTTCTTGCAGCAGTTGGCTTTGGTGAGGAATTTCAAGAGACCCATGATGACCAAGCCTCAAGAAAACCGTCTTCCCCAAGTTCCTGCCCCAGATCTCCAAGAAAGACCAATCAAAGAAACCACGAGGTGTCAAATATGTTGATTTGGGTTTTTTTTCCTGATGCTAAGCATGTCCTCTTGTCTCCTTACCAAGTCTTCCATGCTGTCCAGGATGGCCAAGGAAGCACCAAGTGCTGAGCAGTTGTCCTGGCTGGATGTCCAGTTCCCTGCAGCCTCCGAAAAATAGTAGCATTTTCCTCTATATCTGATCCAGTCGAAGGGGCACTGAAAGTAGGGCTGGGGATGAGGCTGAAAAGCCTGCACTGTCATTAAAAATAGAACAATGTTAAGGAGCAGCACCTTTCCTTTGCGTCTCTCGAGTGGGGAGGTCATCCTCCACCCAATGGTTTCTGAAGGTCTTGCATCTGCCTCAACCGTGAGTAAAAAGAAAAATTAAGATACCAAAAGAAATCGTGGGAGAAAATAAGCTCAAATCATGGCCCAGCTCGTGGTGTTGACCAAGAAACATGATTGCCGCACCTTCAAAGAAAGAAACAGGGTGGTAGCCTTCAGAAAACTGCAGTTTTAAAAGGAGTTTCAAAATAATCCTATCCCTAATATGCTCTTTGGTGTTTCTCTCTATCATTAATGCAAAGTAGTGAAAATGACAAAAAATAAATTCTCCTATTCCTGGAGACTTCTTAGCTTGTTGGGACTCAAGCTAATGTCTCTAGGCCCATTCTTCTCTGAAAACAATACTTTTGGGTGGCTGTATGTATGAAATGGCTTTTCCTGTTGCTTTTCTAAGGATTTCTGGATGACATCAGCTCCCGCACCAAGGGGATGAGTTTGGTCTTCTGTAGAAAAGCTGCTCTGAAATAGGACAGCAGGTTGGGTGGGCTCTGTCTTCCACAGGAGAAGTGGAGGTAGATCTGTGCAACATGTGCAACAACTCAAAATATCTCAGAGACATTCCTCGTGAGACCTAAAACCAACCTGCAAAAGTGATGGCTGTGACAAGCAGAGCCGTGAAGAGCGCTGCCAGCATCACCTGGCAGGTGACACGTGCCTCCGGCTTCATGTCCAGGCTGTGACCTGCACGAGAACAGACCTTCAGTGCCTCTGTGAAGAGTTTCCAGGGGAGCAACATGCTCCAGGTCATGCCCAGATGATGACAGGTTGGTCTCTTCCTCATGCTGGGGGACTTGGTGTCATTTTGTGTGAGAAATATAAAAAAATTCTTCTCCAAAATTATATATTTTTTTTTAATTTATGGAAATCCTATGGAGAATCTCCTCCACAGCTCCAGCTTGAAACTCCTGAGATGCACCATAATTAAAATCATGCTTTAATTTCTGGGTTTTGCCTCATTATTAAAGTTCAGTGGAGTTTTTTTCTCCATCTAAACTGAGACACTTTGGGTCTTGAAAATTATCCAAGTCATGGTGCCTCCATCTCTGGGTCCTGTGATCAAGAATATGCTCTTTCCCTTCACTATGAGGAAAGAAAATTCTGTTTCCTAGCAGTTTTACCTAAAAATATTAGTGGTTTCACCTCATGGGACTACCCCCACTTTTTATTTAAGCTTTTCCTTTTTTGTCCCCATCTATCACATGAACCAAAACTCATGGGACAAACCCTCCTTTCCCCTCTTCCTCTTGGAAAAATGTTATTAGAAAGTAAGTCAGAAACCAAATATGCCAGCTAATTTAAAATATATATATATATGTATATATATATATATATATATATATATATATAAATAAAAAAAATTAGCAAATAGGAAAAATCAACAAATTTCTAAATCAAAAAAAATTCCCCAAAAATCTTTGTCCCTAGTTGAATAGACTGAGATGATGCAAAAGACTCCCAAAGCTGCTTTTTCACCTTATTGTGGACCAAGAGGATGATAGAGATGGGAGCAAAATAAGGAGACCTGTAACAGGGCAGGTTGAAGGGAAAGAAGTACTTAATAAATATTTTGCTGATGTGTCCAAGTTGCATTTAAAGACCAAACTTCTTTTTGGAGCTTTTAGCAGTTCAACTCTTCAAAAATTTCTTTATTCTCATCCAAAATAAATCAAAAAATTGGAATATTTGTGAAAAAAATATACCCAAAAGAATCAGTTACTTGAGTGCCTCAGGAAGGGTTAATCCTAAATGAAAATAACCCACAGTGTCTGAAATGGGGCTGTTTAGAGCAAAAGTTCCATCTGCTGAGGGACAAAAATTTTCCCTCAAGGGAAGTGCTAGAAAAAGCTTTCCCCCCACCCCCTTACAACCTTACTTCAGCTGGGTTTTGTTCTCAAATTACAGAAGTATTAAAAAGAAAAACAAACCCAGCGATTCTTCAGTTCATTGCCCTACAGTTACCTGCCCTCTTGCTCCTCTCCATGCCCAAAAATCTGGAATAATCTCTCATTTCCTCCATTTTTGGGGTTCCACGTATACAGCTGCTCCTGGCTCACCTGCCAAGCAAAGTTCCATCTGTCAGAGGTACCACAAAGGTTGTCAGCGCTCTAAGTTTTCTCCCCATATTTAAAATTTTCTCCCTGGAATGAAACTTTTCTCCCCAGTTGAAGTTTTCTCCCACAATTAAAATCTACTCCCTGCAATTAAAATTTTCTCCCCCAGTCAGACTTCCCTCCATTAATGTTTTCTTCCCCAAATTGTTTTCTCCCCTCAATTAGTTTTCTCCCCCTACTTATATGTTTCTCCCTTCAATTAAATTTTTCTCCCTGCAATTAAAGTTTTCTCCCACAATCAAACTTTCACCCCCAATTAAAGTTTTCTCCCTCAATTAAAATCTTCTTCCCCTATTAAAGTATCTTCAATTAAAATTTTCTGCCCGTAATTTTCCTCCCTGCAAACCTTTCTCCCCAATAGTTTTCTCTCCCAGATAATATCTTCTCCACTGAGTTAATATTTTCTGTCCAAAATTAAAGTTTTCTCCCTCAAATTAAAGTTTTTTCCTCCCAATTAAAACAATCTCCCCCTATTAAAATCCCCTCCATTGAAAATTTCTGCCCACAGTTAAAATTTCTCCCATAATTAAAGTTTTCTTCCCCCAATTAAAATTTTCTCCCCCAATTAAAATTTTCTCCAGCAATTAAAACTTCTCCCAGCAATTGAAATTCTCTTCCACACTTAAAATTTAAGATCACCTCCCCTTAGTCCCCCAGCCCATCCCAAGCCTCCTCACCCAGTGGGAACAAGCCAGATGCTGAGGCATAACCTGTTCTGTGAAGAGAAACAGAAACACAGTATGAAAAAAAAGTTATTTTGGTTTATTTTATAGTTTTTTTCCCAGGGATTTTCCTGCACCTCCTACAGAGTTATGGGGCTGCCTGCCCGAGGGCCACCTGCCTGCCCACCCACCGAACCAGGGATTCCCCTTCAGCTCTACCCTGCACCCCCTTCAACACCTTTTCCTGCATTTACAGCTTTTTTTCTCAGCTGGGGAAGACAGATTGTCCAAAAATGCTTTTTTTGGTGTGCAGGAGGGGGAAATGCTGATGGGGATCGCTCTGCCCTGGGATGTTGAGGCACCCCAAAAGGGACTTCAGGGATAAAGTGCAGTTCCCTTCAGCCGATTTTACCATTTTTTAAATATAGAAACGTAAAAAATAAGTGCTCTTGCAATTAAGCTACCCAATTGCAGGATTTTACCCTAAACCCTACTTTATTTTACATTTCTCAGGGTTTTTTTGTAATCAGTGGTCACACACCACTGGAGGGGCTGCTTTTGCAGAGGGCAGGAAAGCTGACTGGCAGCAGCTGACCACAAAAACTTTCTGTGAGGGTAGCAGGCACTGCGGGTGGAAAATAAAATAAAAATAAACATGAGATAATAAAAATATAAGAAAAAAATTTAAAATAAGAACAATAAACCCAAAATAAAAATTAAAAAAAATTAAAATTAATTAAAAAATAAAATAATGCAATGCTTTTCCTTCTGGGACCTTTGGATGTTTGTGTTTATCCTCTTTTTACCCCATTTCTTTCTGCTGGCAGGTATTGAGGCAAATTTCTACTTTTTTTTTTTGCTGTTTTCTGGGTATCTGAGGCAAAAAACATTGGTTTTAACTCTACAAAAAGGTGTTGCTTGGGGGTGTTACAGCAGTGGCCAAAACCTGAGTTCACACCAAAAAAAATGAAGAAAGGGAGGGAAAAAGGTCAGCATAGGCTGGGAATTGGTGGTCATTCCAATCAGTGGCCAAGGCATCCCAAATGTGGGAGGAAGCATGGGTCTGGGACATCAGGAGTGGAAGGGATGGGCTTGCAGGAGAAAACTCAAAATCAAAATAAAATAAAACAATAAAATAAAATAATAAAATTCGGTACCAGCCTGCAGGAAATCCAGACTCTCACCTCCTCCTAGGGAGAACAGGAGCTAGGCCACTCCTGACCACATTGGATCTCCCTGACAAAGGATCAAACATAGGCCAAATATTGTGTCAAAAACAGCAGAAAAAGTCACACAGAGCAAAAGGCATCCCAAGTCACTCCCAGCCCATACACCAAATGCCACCTGCCTCCTCATCTAGCTACCTGCCTGTGGCCACACTGATACAGCTCCTGACACACTTCAGCCTTACCCTGAAAAACCTTATTTAAAGGCTTTCCTAAATTATTTTTTATTAATTTCTGCATGCTTTCACAGAATGTTTTACACAGCCATCAAACCTATAGGTGTTTCTACACCTCCAGGCATGCCACCTACTCCAGATGTGCCATCTCCTCCTGGCTGGAGGACACCCGTTCCCTCACTGCCTTTCATTTACAAGGGAAGGCTATAGAATATATATATATATATATTAAAAAGAAAAAAAAAAACAAACAAACAGATAAAAGCCCTGGTCAATACCATTTCCTGGAGCCGGATGAAGGCATGAGTATATAGCTCACAAGGCAAAAGGTTGTCTAAGGACACTGTCACTTTTGGGCTGGTCCTGTAACCTTCTGAGTGGCCATGGCTGGGGAAATTGTTTATGCTGATTTAAGGCATCTTGGAGATGGTTCTTCTCCTGCTGAGAAACGTTATGGTAAGTCCTGTTTTGGGGAAACATGGTTATTTCAAGCTTTGGGAAGACTTTTGAGTTTGTTTGCTCTTGGGTTTGCTTGCTTCTCCATTCCTGTGTTGAGGTTTCCAAGATTGCGGAGAACATTGGATGGGCTAAATGTCTTCTAAGGTGGGATTCTGGCTTGAAAAGAGGAGGAAAAAGAGTAAGAAGGGGATGGAAGAGGCTGACAAACATCTGGAAGTAGAACAGTTTTGCTTCTGAGACTCTACTTTATAGGTAAATGGGTCCAAGAAGCCCAACATGAGCCAACACACCTGAATGGGAAGGAAATCTACTGAGATCTTGTCTGGAATCCTGGTGGAGATGAGAGCTGGGGAGACCTATGTCTCACTGACTCCCAGCTCTGCTGGGACCTCTAAAATTAATCCCATTTCAGAAGGTTTCAGGTCCCCCGAGATCCATCAGTGGGTGCCCAAAGCTGCTCCTGAGGCTCCTGCAGCCCCTCCACCACCTGAGAAACCACCTGTGGGTGATGCCCTCACACTAGACCTCATCACTGGTGATTTACTTTTTAGAGGAAGCAAAGAAGCTGTAAACTTCTACTCCAAGTCACCAGCTTGACAGAGGGGCTTTTTCTTTTTCCTCTAAAAGCCCAGCTTTTTCATGTTTCATTTTTTTTAAGCAAATATGGTCTCTTTCAGCTCCTGACTCCTGTCCATGGTGGCACAGGCTCCTCCTCAAAGCTGGGGGGCTGGGGCAATTCATCCTGCTGGTCCTGGTGGTGGTACTGAGTGTGCAGGGTAAGTAATCAGCTCTTACCTACATCTCACACCTCAGAGAGCAGCCTGAGAGGGGATATCAGGGTTTATTTCAAGTATTTCAGCCTCTGGAGAGGACGACGTTGTCCCATAGAGATGCAACATCACCCACCAAGAGTAAGTTCTCTCTAAGTTAAAAACATTATTGTTAAAAAAAGGTGGAGTATACAAGCTGTGTTTTTCAGGTTGGCTTAATTAACTGCACAAGAAAATGAAACCTGGTTTTGTGGGGGTTTTGGCTTTTATCCCCAGATGTCTGCAGCTTCTCGCTCCTGATCATTTCTCCAAGTTTTTCAGGGCTCTCCGCAGCCAGTGGTGATGAGAGTTCCCCAGCCAGATGATGAGATCCAGGGAAGGAACCAGAAGGAGCAATACATGTTTTCATCCCTGGTGCGGTATTTCTGCAAGCCCCAAGTGGAGAGCCCCACAGGTAATCCTCCATTCCTCCTGGCTCTGCTGGGAATGCTCAGATGAGAGCTTTGTGGAGGGCTTCTCCTGCAAGGACACCCTTGGGGCTGCGAGGCCACCAAGCATTACTTTGCAAAGAAGAGTGTTGCAAGGAAGAATTATCTTTTCCATGCAATTTTTGCTGATCCCTCCTCCACAGAGAAGCAGGGTCATCCCAAGAGAGGAGGTTCCTCACCATCCTGCCCTCTCTCTCACCAGGCATTTTTTTCCTTGTGGTCACCCAGCTGCAGTCATCATCCTTCTGTCTGGTGGCTGAGCAGGAAAAACCACCATGATGTGAAAAAACTCAAGGATGGGAAAAGAGCCAGGATGTGAAATGGGGAATCCCTTAGAGCCTTCAGCTGGTGGCTGGGGAAGACCTTGACCACCCTGTGGGGTGTCTCATGGCTTTTTCTTCTCTTGCAGCCTATGCTGGCTGCAAGCTGTGTCCCCAGGACTGGCAGCTACATGGGGAAAGATGCTACTGGCTTTCTGAGGAATTGGGAAACTGGACTCAAGGCACAAAAAGCTGCAAAAATCAAGACTCTCAGCTGGTGGTACTCCAGGAAAAGAAAGAAAGGGTAAATAGGGAGAAGGCTTGAAAAGGACCCAAAAGTCCTGATTTTTGGGTGGGCAGGGAAGCAAAAAATGCCTAGCAGCAGGAGGGCTTGGAAAAGCATTCAAAGCATGGGGGACATTCATGTCTCATGAGTTTGGAAGTCAGATTTACTCCATGGCTTTGCACCTCATGAAGCCCTCCGCAGAGAGATTTTGGAATCAACTGGTCACTTCTATTTTCCAGGAGCACATCAAGGTTATTACAGGCAAAAGCCCACCACCAGTGTGGATTGGAGTAAGGTCACATCAAAAGGAGTGGAGATGGGTGGATGACACACCCTTCAATGCCAAAATGTGAGTGTATCCACAGCCTGTTGATGTAAAAAGAAGCTTTGCTCCATTTCAGACCCAGTTCATGCCCTGACCCATCTCTCCAAGATGTTGGGGTCTGTGCAATGGTCTCATATTCCCCCTGCTAAAGCTCTGCAGACCAAAAGCTGGCAGAGCGCGGTAACCCCACAGCTCCCATCAGACCCATGCAGCAACACAGCTTTTCACGCTCCACATATGCTCCTCACAGATCTTACTGTGCGCACACCAGTTCCTCTCAAATTTGGGCACCCACCACTGAAGTGGTGCAGTATGATGAGAAAGTGTGGGAAAAGAGCAGGAGAACCCCCCCACACCTCTTCTTTTCTGCAAAACTGGGAAAGTTTCCTCCTCTTAAGCAATGTAATTTTTATTCTGCAGGTTTGGCACCTCCCTGCAGGAGATGGGTGAAGGGTGCGGGACACTAAAAGCCAAGGGCTTTGAGGTTCATAGATGCGATGCCAAACACAAGTGGGTTTGCAAAAAAAACCCCTTCCAGCTCTACCCAATAACAGCAGGAGGCGAGGAGAAACACAATGCCTCCATCTGACACATGCCTACCCCAAAATGCCCATCCCATGAGACGCTGGGGTGGAATCAGCCCCATTCTCATCATTATGTCTTTGCAGGAGATTTCAGGCTTTGCAAATCCACTTCCCACAAGGATCAAGATCAGCTTGGGAGGCACAAATGAGCCCCTGAATGGGAAATCAGAAAAGCCTGTGCCTCATGCACAGTGATGATAGAGGATAGAGCTACAACATCAATAAAAGTTTATCAAAGTGGTTTGCCTCAATTTACTGAGATAACTCAGGTGAGAGCACAGGTGGCACATCATGGTTCATATATAAACATGGGAAATTTCAACTCAAAAAAGCTTTCCTGAGTGACAAAACTTATATGTGTGCGTCTCTTCAGGCACCGCTGAGAGTGTCAGCACAAAGACTGATGCAGGCAGCCGAGTTTTGCTCGAGTTTTGGGGATTTGGAGGGTTGGGTTTGTCTTTTGCTTTTTTTTTGTTGTTTTTTTGTTTGGGATTATTTGTTGCTATTGTTTTGGAGTAGTTTTTTTGGTTTGGCTTTTGTTTGTCTGCTTGCTTTTTGATTTTTTTGGGGGAGGCAGGTTGGGTTTTTATTTGGTTGGTTGGTTTTGTTGTTATTACTAAATTCCCTCCCCACCATTTTTTGACCCCCTTGTCAAGCAGAGAAACCTATTCATTGAAATTAATTCAACCCAAATGCATAGCTTATGCATTTGAGTGACTTTTAGATAAAGTCTGCTTTCCAAATAACATAGACATTATCAATAGGATTTGCTGCTGCAGTGCTCCAGAAGCAATGGCCATCCAGCTTGTCTGGGCAGAAAGTCTCATGAAAATACAAATTCTTATGTGTTGGTGATAGATTCCCATGGAGGGATTTATCAAAGGAAGCTGTACTCAGTTCTTCCCTGTCTCCTGATCAGTCCTGTTTACAGGGTCTCTTTTCCCTTCCAGAGGACATAGTTGTCAGGTCTGCTGCAGACACAGTTGTTATTAGTGGGGCTCAAGGATGAGCTGATCCCCCCTTCGTTCAATTATGCACATGGCCCATGTAGTGGTTTGAACCTTGTTTTCCCCCAGAGGCTAAGAAAAGTGGTAGACCCCAAGGGGTGGAAACCCCTGGAAGTTTTGAAGTTCTGTCCAATGGGCGCTCCTGCAGAAATGTAAACATACCACAAGCAAACAGAAGAGATGAGTGGTAGTTTGAGTAGTAGGAGAAGTGGTCATGTTGTAGAGTCACGAGGAAGGGGCTCTGAGCCCCTCGGGGCCTCTGGGGCCTCCCAGCCCCAGGCTGAGGGAGCTACAGGGACCTGGAACAGCATAAAGCTGGGCTAGGTGCCTGTAGTTAAGCCAGGAGATGTTTTCTCCATCGTGGGCAGGAGTAGCGGCAGATGCAGCGTCCGGAGACTCTGGCTAAGAGCCAGGACAGATAAGAACTGAACCGGAGAAGCAGCAGAAGCTAGCAGCAGAGCTACAGAGTTCTGGGGGTAAAAACTGATACCAGACCCCCCAAAACTCTTTTGAGACCTCCAGGAAAGGAGGGACATGGACTCCTACTAAGGAGAGGAGCCTTGGAGTGCTACAGCACTTGCAGAGAGGAGCTAGAAGCTCAGTCGTCCTGAGAACTCAGCCAGCTTGGTGCGGGAGGTTGGCCTTGGGGGCCCTCCCTTGCTGCAAGCTACGAAGAAGCTCGCAGCCTCAGGCAGGGCACAGAGGCCCTGCAAGGAGCTTGAATCTCCTGGAGATACCAGACCGTCACGAAGCCCCCTGTGCTCGTGATGTGACCGTGGTGGAACGACCTTTGTCTGGGGTGACGTAGTCCACGGAGCAAGACCCCTTTGCCTGCGTCAAGGGGCCGAGGGAGCTTGGATACCTCCCTCGTGAGTGCTGGCAGAAAGCCAGCCACAGCTGCTGCATGCATGAGATGAGGAGACCTGCTGCCTTAGAAGAGACTCCTGCTGTTCAGAGATTGGAAGGGATCTGTCCTTCTTTCCCTCCTGGACTTTTATTTGGAGGGGAGAAGAGATCTGATCCATTGTAAATACTATATGTCATGGTAGAGATAGTTGTGATTGTGTGTATAATGTGTTATAGTATTTATTTGTACAGTCATTGTAATATATTCCCTTTCTCCCACTTTGAGTCTGGTGTGTTTTGCCTGGAAAAACCCATCTCACATTAGGTTGAGATGTGGGAGGGGGCTTAGACTAGGGAATTAGGATTTTGGGGCTATCTCAAACCATGACAGCCCACTACCCTGCACCTCAAACCTGCAATGCCAACATGCTCAGGAGAGCAAGAAGAGGAAAAGAAGAAAACTACCTGCAAAGCATTAAGAAAAGCTGAAATTTCCTCTCTAGGAGAGAAGGGGTAGTGTTTGACTGAGGGTATCTAGTAGGGGATTGCTGTGCAGTCCCTGGTCCATCCCAAAACTCCTATCGAAAGCCAGGAGCAGCCTGGATATGGTGTCAGGAGAAGGTCCCCATCCCAGGATGGGTCATTCTCAGATCCACTAAGAAATCCCTTCAAGGTGGGAGCAGTAATGCAACAGCCCTCCAGGGCCCTGTCCCACCATACTAAGAGAGAGACCTGCCCCAGGGGCTGATCCCTAGTGCCCAAGATGGACAGAGGGACCAACCTGCTGTTGAAGGCTGTGCTATCTGTCCACCACTACTTGCTGTTCCTCTTTTGCAAGCTGTGGTTTGCTTTGCCCTTATAGCATATAATGAAAATCTGTAAAGCAAAGAAACATCATAGTTTAGCCAGTCTTGTCTTCCCCACCTCTTCTTTTCCATCTCTGTCCATTACCCCACACAGAGGTGATGCTTTTCCCAAAGTATCTGCTCCTGGCTACACCACTGGGTGCAGTTTGGGGCTGGAATCTTACTTTATTGGTTTTGCTTTCATGTTTCCTGTCCTGGTGCTGGCATAGAGACTCAAGCACAGATCTTATCAGTTCATCCATGGTGCTCATGATGGCCAGTGAAGCTCCCAGGGCCTTGCAGGTTTCATAACTGATGATCCAATTACCCTCAACCTCAGAAAAATAATAGCATTTACTTTGGAAACCAAGGCAGGTGTCTGGGCACACATGGAAGAAATCCGGGTGAGGGAAATGGAATTCCATAAGATAACTGAAAAAGAGAAAGCCAAGTGAGATATGTGGGCAGTTCTAAAAAGCAGAAGAATGGGATTTATTATTTTTATTCCTAGAAGCTGGGAGAACTGGGGATGATGATCTTGGGAATGGTGTGATCAAGGGAGGAGCCAGGTGCCTGGATCACAGCTAAGAGAAAAAAAGAGAAGCAAGCTTTGCTTGGTAAACATCTCTTGATGCTGGGAAAATTTTTGGAGATGGAGAGAACTGTGAAGGTTGAAGGCACACTACATGGTTATGTTGTAGAGAATATTCAAAACTGTGACAGAGATTGTCATGCAACTATAATGCATATTTTACAAAATATGTATAATGTATGTGTTTATACACAGCATGCTAAATCTTGGTTGAGCCGATTTTTTACTGTTTTCAGTATGACCAGGAGTCACCTCACTGGGAAAAGAACTAAATATTCTAATCAGCCTCCTGCAGAAATAAAAAATATTTATATGAAATTACAATATTCCAATGTTTGTTCAGCAAATGTGTCATCGTTAAATAGTGTTGAAACACAGTCACCATAACTTTTGAAATGTATTTGCTCCAGAGATCCAGCATGCAGTAAACAAACATTGTGTAATTTGGCCAGCCAACCACACAGCATGAGAGCAGTGTCCTACTAACTGAGAGTGTAAGTATCTACATATTACAAGCAAAAAGGAGATGCCAGTCCCTCAGGGATAAGGTACAACACTCAGCAATTTGAAGCGTTGGCTTTAATGAAAGCACAATGTTGCTGTGGTGGGAGCTTCAGTACACCAACACTAAATGGGGGGACCTGATAGAGTAGAACCCTGCTTGGAAGCATAGCTCAAAGGATAGCACTGCAGGGGTGGATAATAAAACTTGCATTGATTAACTGATTTGCCTTACATATCTATGCGAAGTCCTGTTTTGGTCACTAGTGAACTCTGATGTAATGCAGGTACTGTGGTCTGAATTCTGAGTTCTGCAGCTGTTCATTACATTGGTGCCTGTGCAAAGGTGGGTGCAGATGGGAGGGGAAGCAAGCTATCCAGGGCTACCCTCACAAAATAAAATGTGCTTGGGATTCTGCATATATGGATGGGAAGGAATGAAGTACTCCAGATTACCATGACAACAAGATTCATACTTGGATGAGGGAGATGAATTATCCTGGGTTACCATAGCAAAGTCGTCTTGAGCCCTACACCACACTTGTTTCTAGTTCTCTTTCTTCAGAAGCCCATTAACAGTGTTCTGACTGAAGGAGGTCAGCTCTGCTCCACATAGGTGACACAGCCAGACAGAAGATACTTTCTTAAACTCCCAGCACAGGAGGTAAGCTATACAGTACACTGTCAAATATCTGGCTTAGAAACTACAGCAAGCGTTTTGCCTTCCTGAAATGAGACACTAAACTTAGCACAATGGATATTCTGTTATAAAAGTTGCTACTACCTTCACTTGGATGAGTTCTGTATCTTTACAGAGGCAAGGACTTGTTCACTTCTAATTAGACTGAAAATAAACCCTGCAATTTGGCAGTTTCCAAACAAAACAATGGTACAAGGTTGGCAATTTTCAGAAAAAACTAATAATGAGACTAACATGTTTAATCCCGTTCCAGGTTTCATTTCCCCAGTCACATTTCTTGTCTGCCTTTCTAATGGATCCCAGCTTTACAATAACCAGGAACTCTTCTGTGAACTTTTGGCACATGGAAAGAAGCCAATAGTCAGTTTTGCCATATGAGATCCAGCTTCTGATGTAGCAAGGACATAGGCAGGCACTGGTTCATCTCCTGAGGAATACACTTTGTTTTTCTGAATATTTTTTTAATTTAGAAAGTAGAAAGAAGATAACATACCCTACTGTACAAAAAGTAAGCAAAATCTCTAAACTGGATACTTTTGCAGACAACAACAAAGAAAGCACCTGTATTTTGAGCCATGAAAGATACATAGGTGCTATACAGAATAAAGAACAGGTGTTCTATAGGGCCAGAATATGACGATGAAACTATTATATCCTTTGGCACTATTTAAAATAGTCTCATCCCTTTTAGAGTTATTACTGGTCTTCTCTGTCCTGACACATGCAGAAAAAATCTGCTACACCCAGGGGACAACGAGCATTACACACTACACCTAGATACCTGACAGTGTGATACACACAAAGCTTCCATGAAAGCAGTCATATGAGAAGATGAGCACTCTCTTTACTAACTCAGATACCCCTCCCTTTTTTGTTTCGCCCTGGCTTTTATGTAGAGATAATAATAGATTCTATCAATTTAGTCTTTGCATCCTCCTTTTCCAGTGTCACTGATGGTTTTGAACCAGGAATGACATCACAAATTACCCTTTATTATGACAGTAACGCTTAAAAGCAAAAAGCAAGGAAGAAAGGGATCTGAACAAAAGCATTTTGAAAAACAAATACAAAATGTACAAGCAATATTTATTACACAGGGAACATAAAGTACATTTTTATTTTGCCATAACAGAACAATAACCAATTTTAACAAATTGCCTGCATTTTTAGAATATATACAGATGCTCCGTAATCAGCGACCTCAGCAACAGTGCTCATCTGCCACCCAGTGTCTATTTGCTTTTTTCCTGTCTTACAAAAACACACAACCTGAAGACTAACTGCCAAGATGAACTCTACGTTACTATTTATGTTCTAGTTAAATGTTACCAGCAAACTAGACTGCTATCAGAAAATATGAAAATTAGGCCGAAGAAACTAAAGAAACATGACTGATCATAACAAATTATTCAATGAGTCTAATCAGAAAAGTGGGGTTTTTTTCATCAAGTGTGTACCTAACAAAATGATGGAGTACAAGGAAATACCATTGAGGAGGTCCTTAAATTTGTAAGGGAGAGAAAGCTGGGGGACATGGCATAAAACTAACGCCTACTAATATCCTTTATAGTCTCAAATTAATTAGCATGTAGAGAAGTATTTACTTGCCTAATTCCTGAAGACACAAGCTGAGTTACGTTCCCTGGGAGATGAAAAATAAATTATAGCAGTGTGGTTGAATAACTGGAATAGATTGACTGTTTACGCCTGGGGCAGTAACCAAAAACTAACCTTACAGAAAGAGATGGAGGATGGAGAGCAAAGGAATCAGAAAAGCAGACGACTGATAGAAGAGAAAGAAGACATTTCCTACTTTGCATCCTCGAGTATTTATTCTAATATTATTAATATTAGAATAGAAACATACATGAAAGAAATATCAGCAGAAGCTACCCTCTGTGGTTGACAACTGATGGATTTATAGGACAAGGGGACAGTCAGTGGCTTCTGCTTGACCTTCTCTTGATTTTTCAGGATTGGCTTTCTCCAGAAGGACAGAAACCTGAAACCCAGCAAGGACAAAGCTGAATTAAAGCTAAGGGATGAAAATATTTTAAATTAACAAAACACCTGCTCTTGTAGTCTGGCCAGAGGTTACTAGCAATAACAAAACAGAATGTAGACAGGCCATTATTATAAATCATTTTTTTCTCTTCCCCCATCCCCCTACAAAAAATAGATAAGATTTTGGCTTTTAAAAGACTGCTTAATCATTAAATAAATGACTTGTCACAGACTTCAAAAGTGATGATGGAAAAATAAAAAGCAGACTGTCAAGTTAACCCAGTGCTACACTAGGTGTCAGAACACCGACTGTCCAAAGAATGGAAAAATTATGTAATTGACTGGAGGGGAGTTAGTAGAGCCTGACATTCAAAGGGCTCAATTTAGAGCAACATATAAGGGGACCAATGTATACCAGGTCATGTACTTTAGAAAGACAAAATCAGACACAAACACACTATATGTGAATACATATGTGAATATACATATTATGTGAATACATATTCATTACACCACCAACTAATTAAAAAACCTAGCATTCCTAGGAACACTTTTTATCAATTCAAAATAATTCCCCTATTCTCTATCAAGCTGCCACTAAGCAAAATCAAACTTAGCTAATATTAGATATATCTATGATTGTGTACTTTAAAGTTATGCAATATTTTGAAAAAAAAGATGAAATTTCATATCATCCATATCTGCATCAACTTCAGAACAGTCTGTACTTTGTATGAAAAAAATATCATGCTCATAGCACTGTAAGTGAAATTCTACAGACTCTAAAACAGCAGAACCACAAGGACAATTAGGAAATTTATATCTGGAAAATATTTGAAATCTTGGCCAATCCTAAAGGACACAACCCAAAAGAAAGAACGAAAAGCCCTAAATGCAAACACCTTAAGGGGTAGGTAATTTTCCACCGAGATTATGGACAAATGAGAAAATATGAGAAAGTTTTCCTTTATGTAAAACTTGCCTGAATATCTTATAAAATCAGTTATGATATCACCTTGTTATGATCAGGTTCTTTAAAATTATTAGAGAGATGCCGCTGACAAAATTAAGCTGCAAACAAGGCCATATGCCGAAGGCAATAGTACAGATTTTTATTTAACAATAAATGTGAGGTAGAGAGAGATATAAAGGAATAGGGAAGAGAAAGTGAAGGTGGAGTGGGGAGAGAGAAACAGAGAGACAGATTAAGTAGAAAAAATATCACCACTCTGTGGGTTCCAATGGCGTCCCGTTGTTCCTCTTCTTGGAGTTTTCCTGGTGGTTAGAGTCCCAGTCTTGTCAAAGTGATGGTTGCAGTCTGGATTCATCAAGGAAAGCCCAGGGTAGTGAGGGAATGTATCAATCTCAGCATATCAGTGAAGTGTGAAGGAAGAATCCTGTATCAGTGAACGAAATCCCACGTGGTGAAGGAAGAGGTCTGTGGCGGTAAGGAAAGAAATCCGTTCGTGAGCGAAGTCCAGTGTAGTGAGGGAAGACTGTGTGTGTGAGGGAAAAAGCCTGTGTGTGGTGAGAGACATACTCCATGGTATGGAAAGTCCAAGTGGTGAGGGAAGACGATATGTTGAGTAAAGTCCGTGTGGTCTTTTATTGGGCCAGGTGGGAACACCCCGCCCCACCCCAGCCACGAGGTTTACAATGCCTGTTGTAATACTGGATCACTGGACCTTTCAGGAGCCTTTGACACCTTTTAAGATGTTACAGCTGCCTGTTAAATCAGCACAGGTGAGTCAATTCTGGCTCATCAGCAGAGATTAATATCTTCAGGCTATGCGTCAATTGTCCCATTGCTTCCCTGGAGCGGAGTTATCACAGCTGAGTCATTTGCATAGAGACAAAGAAACACCACCCCTCCTCGCAGGATTTGCCTCTCTCCTCATCTTGTCGAATACTTAGCCTGTAGCCCGAGGTGGCCGGTAAGCACACCCTCAGCACCTGGGTGGTTACTTTGCACATTGTCAGCTTGCACCTTGATTGTCTGAGCCATCAGCATTCCAGTCTCTCACACTTGTGGATACATTCTTCTCCTGAGATAATTAGACAACAGCACTACCTTTATCTTCTGTCAAGTTCCTGTTACAGTCCAAATTAGTAGGCATGTTGAGGGAGTGGTGGGCTTCAGTAAACAGCTGCTTCCTTACACACCTTGCTACAGTGGACCAAAGTCCTCAGGGATTTTAACAATGTTTAAGCTGTAAACCATTTCAGTGTCTCGCACAGCTATTAAATGTCTTTTAATAAACAAATTCAAATGCACTTGCTGTGTTTAGCTCTTGTCTATTTTGTTACAATGAATTATGTCTCATTCAAAGATACTCTTCTCATGCCTTGCAGTGAAATTCTGACTCCTTTGAAGTAAATGGGAACTTACCACTGAATTTTATTTGGGCATTCATGATGGACATTTTACCTATTTAAAGAAGCTGCCCTCAGCTGTATTCCACTTATTTTATTAATATTTGCTGCTCTCTTTTTTTTTCCTAAATGCATCAACATCCTTCTTCAAATGATAGCAGTGTTTTCAGACAATATTTTAGCAATAGTCTTTTTTGTGATGGCTGTGCAAAGTCATGTTTTCTCTAAGAAAATGTGTTGCTTCACCTACCAGTGAAGCTCACGGGCACAAAAGGACACTACTGTGAGGTAAGACAAAAGATCTAACAGCATCTACTTCATTATAATTACTTTCATACTCCTCTTATGGCTAGGTAAATGTATAAGAAACTGCTCTTCAACAGGAGTGGGTTATATTTCCCGCTTCTGGTCAGAACATGGCTAGGGGGTTTCATTGCATAGAGACCTAAGAGTCATGTCTTCAGAGTTGTGTTCACCTTGAGACAGGCTAAAGGCTTTGATGAAAATTGTACTTTGTAGCTTCCACATGTAGTTTTTCACTTGTGTCAATAATAACCACGGGGGAAAGGGGAAGCAATCATGCCACTCAAAGAAAGGCCTCTTGTGAGCCAGATGTAAAGAATTTTAGAGAAACACACAGGTAGTGAGAGTATTTTGAAAAAGAATGGAGAAGACTCAGAAGCAAATAGTTAATAAACAGACTGTTCCTCTCAACTTCCTAAGTTCCTGTTTTGCAATGGCTTCAGCATGGACTTGCTATTGAAACAGGAGCCAGGCCTAAAAGAGTTAACTGAGATATCTTGGCCTCCTAAGAAACCTCAATACTTGTTTTGCTAGAAGAACATTTTAGGAGCACTGGTTAATATCATGTTCTGTTCTGCTCACTGGACCAAAGGCCTTATTATAAAAAGAATAGGAGTAGTACACACAGAGTAATAAATTAGGTAAACTAGACATTTGAATAAGATCTAGAAGGCCCAGAGCCAGTATTTTGCAAGCTTGAAGAATTCAGGTCACCTAATTGAAGAGGTCAAATTGAGGAAGAAGTCCATGGTGACCACCAGAGGGATGCAGGCTTGAGGAGAAGACCCCCAAAGTAGAAGACTGTGCATGTCTGGAAAGACTCTGCCCAGAGACCAGCCTACTTATTAATATGTATAATAAATGATGTAACCATGTATCTAAAGTGTATAAAATGGCTTAGTTTTGCACTTGCAAGTCCAGCAAGTTTGTCCAGCACGAGCTGGCTTGCTCCCAACGTTGAATAAACAAATACCTTGCTGCTTAAAGATAAAAAGTCTCTGAGCAGTTTCTTGGACCAATTTTTTGGATTCACTATCTCAGTAGACATAGCCATTGTGTCTTACACCACTTTTTAAAAAACAATCTTCAAACACAAATAACATACAATAATATACAGTAAAGTGCAGGAAAAACACTGAAGACTCCTTTTCTCACCAGTTCTAGGTATTAGAGTGATGTGTAAAATGGCAGCAGAACCACTCATCTATCATTTATTTGGATCTTCATTTGCATCACATATCTACCATAGAGAAAAAAAATCTTGAATAGATGATAGCCATATTAGAATTGAGGTATCACAGAACAACCATGTGTGAATCAAAATAAATTCAATTATTATCATATACACTATTGTCATGTGAACTATCCATCTGAGAGATGATCCTTCATTACCACTTCTATCAAAGCTCCAGATCATAAAATCTTAAAGAAATGTTAAATTCAGTTCCAGGAATGGGCCAAATACTGCATCTTATTATGTCAAGATACATGTGAAACAAGAATAACCTATCAGTTGTAAAGAAAAGTAAGATTATGGAATTAATTACAGCTTGTACAAGGCTTGAGACATCAGTTTCTAACCCAAGGCACCCAACAAATGAAAATCACCTTTTCAAAGCAAATCTCATGAGTCAAGAGAAGGAAAACAGGAGGAGGGCATTAATTCTGTCTCTTTGTGTTGATCCAAAATGCAAAAACTGAGAAAAATGTCGTGTTTCTTAGCCTGAAACACACCAAGAAATGTAGACTTAGGAAAGAAAAAGAGCATTCACATGGTATTCCTTAGTCCAGTCTTACACATGTGCATCAGTCCAAGTCTGCAGGACCCTATCTCAGAAGGGACTCATCGGACTTTGGCTTTATTACTGATAATCTCAAAAGGATGCCAGATTAACATTTATTCTTGGAAGTTCTCTCATTTTATATTTTTTACTTTTATCATCCCATGTAAGAAGGACTGATTTCATAGACCTTAGCATTATACACAGAAAAACATTTGATTCCTACAAAGAAATGATTGAGTGAAACCCACTATTTTTGTTCTTATATCCCATAAGGAGACTTGTTATGACCAACATATAAGTATTATCCATTTACACCACAGCAGTAATCCCTTTGTTAAATAATCGTCCCACAGCAAGAAGCTTCCCCCCATTTAACCTCCATTTAACCTAACCTTTTCCTTGCACAAACTTGCTAGCAGACTTTATACCCACGGCTCCAAAGAACCGCTCAGTGCCTCCTGTTTGGAGGAAGAGCTAAATAACCAACTTATGGGTGAGAAATTAGGGCTACAACTAGAGCACATTTTAATTTCTCGGGTGTATTACCACTGCAAAGGTATGGCCTCACTTTCAGCTAACTTCCATTCCCAGACGAGATCCAAGCTATTGACAACCACATAGCACCCCAGGAGCTCTTAGCACTGATCGTCCGCATATATATACAAATACACACACCTACACGAGTAGTTTGCCAGTGCCGTGCCTGCAAGGAGGTGATCGGCCCTCCACCGGCACGGAAGAGGCAGGGGAGGGGACAGGACAGGGGCAGCGGCAGAGACAGGTATAGAGGCAGCGGCACGAAAAGGGCAGGGGCGGGGCTGGAGCAGCGACAGGGACAGAGGCAGAGGCAGGAACGGGAACAGTGGCAGGGGCAGGGACAGGAGCAGCATCAGGGGTAGGGATGGGCAGCGGCACGGATGGCAGGGGCAGGGACAGGAGCAAGGACGAGGAGAGGGCCAGGAGCAGACACAGGTGCAGGACAACGGGCAGGGGCCGCTGTGGGGGCAGGGGCAGGGGAGGAGCAGCGGCAGGCACAGCCCCAGTGCCGCCCCGCCCCCGGGCCCGCCCGGCGCTCCGGCCCCGCCCCGCTCGGCGGAAGTGTCGCTGCCCCAGTTCCGGCGAGGCGGTGGCGCCGCCGGGACGGCAGCGGGCATGGCGCTGTGGCTGCCGCGCTCCCGGGACGGAGGCGCCCCGGAGGAGGAGGGCGAGGAGCGGGCGCAGGCTCCCGCCTGCCGCCAGCGTCTGCCGGAGGTGCAGGTACAGCCGTGCCCCCCGCGCGGGGCCGGCGGGGCCGCGGGCGCCTCGGCCCTGCGGGGGAGCGGCGGGGGGACGCGGGCACCGCGCGGGCGGGGCGAGCGCTGCGGGAGGGCCCGCCCGGCGGGGACGGGGGGGGAGAGTCTGGCGTCTGCCGCCGGCCCTGGGTAGCGGTTCCACCCTGGGCAAGCGATGTGCAGGGAGCTGGGCTGGAGTCATCCCAGCATCCCTGTGCCTGAAGAGAAGATACATAGGCAGTGTGTTTCGCTGTTGGCCAGGGCAAGATTTATAAACACCTTGTCGGGAATTCTGTGTGTTCTCACAAGAAACTGTCATTATGTTACTTTTCCAAAGAGTGGGATTTTCTTCTTGTTATTGCAGAAGTAAGGATGCTGTAATTCCGAAACAAAGCTGGGACAAGAACTTTGATGTACCTGCATTAAAGTTTCCTTCAGATAATCTTTTTTCAGCTTGTCCTTTTTGTACCCCTGCCAGAGGTTATCAGCAGTGCAGAATTTCATAACATGGTACTGGAACGCTGAGGAACTAATGCATATGGATGCTTTCTTCTTCACTCTTGGTGGAAAAGGCATGGCATATGCTATAGAGGGTAACTTCTTAAATTACTGAGCGTGAATTCCCAGCACACTCCTGGAAGTAATATAAGCAGAGTTGCTTAAGACAACATTTTTCTCTCCCAGCTATGAGTGATAACCTCCTCAACAAATTTGACCAAAAGGAGCATATGTTTGTGCTGGGCCTCAGCCACTCTGTAACTTAAATTCCACTTTCAGTGTCGGTTCAAGGAAGAAGATATTGGCCATCTGTTTAGTACTAATCCATACTGGAATGCAGGCAGCAGCAGTTACTTTACTGTTGTGATCTGACATCACCAGAATGATACTTTCTTCTCAGAAGTGTATATTCAGAGTATTGTCACACTTGGCTGCTGCTAATGTTGCAGCCTAAAGATAGCCAGAGGGGTTCAGCTGTGTCAAAAGTATTTTTACAGTCCAGAGACTTTAACTGATAGCAGTACATGATCCAGGATTTTGCAAATACACTTAACAAAGTTAAGGTGGCTTGAATTGGAAATATTTTTGTACAAAACACAGCTGTGCAATGCTATGCTTCATTACTCTTGCTGATATAATGCTGCATATCTAAGGTGCCTTCCAGGCGCATTATTAACTTTGGGATTTAGGCCAGTCTGCTTCTATACAAACTGTAAACAGACAATTTTCCCTCCATAAATAGCATGTCTGATTTTCCTCACAGACATACAGCCAGGGGATTGAATTAGCCTGCCAAAAAGAAAGAGAGTTTGTCAAGCACTCTGTAGAATGCACGTGGAACCTAGCAGAAGCCCAGCAAAAATTTGGTAGCTTAGCACTGCATAATTCAGAATCCTGCGATCAAGAGTCTGCTCAAGCGAGGACAGAAGCAGCAGAGTTGAGATGGAGAGAGGAAGAGTGGAGAAGGAAAGAAGAAGCACTGAACCAGAGGGAAAGACAGAATCTATGGAACGCAGATCCTGTTAGTAAGGAAGTATTTAATAAGGTATGACCCATATTGGTGTGCATGGAAAAAAAGTCTTAGGCTCTTTTGTTCATTCTGGTTGTTACTAGTCTCTGAATGGATTCTGTATCTAGTACAGCACAAAAATGGAGTATGTCCCTCATCTTTTTACCTGCGAATATCATGAAACAGATCCCCCTAGAATCTATGCTAAGGTACATGGAGGACAGGGAGATGATTTGGGAGATGGATTCACAAAGGGCAAGTCCTGCCTTAACCAACCGAGTGGCCTTCTATGATGGAGTGACCACAGCAGTGGCCAAGGGAAAGATTATAGATGTCATTTATCTGCCTCTCTGCTCTGCTTCTGTGAGGCCCCCCAAAGTGCTACGTCCAGCTCTGGGTTCCCCAGTACAAGAAAGACATGGACCTGTTAGAGCAGGTCCAGAGGAGGGCCACAAAGATAATCAGAGTGCTGAAGCACCTCTCCTATGAGGACAGGCTGAGAGAGTTGGGGTTGTTCAGCCTGAAGAAGAGAAGACTGCTGGAGAGCCCTTATTTACCTTATTGTGGTCTTTCAGTACTTCAGGGAGCCTTAGATGGAAGGAGACTTTTTCATCACACCCTGTTGTGATAGGACAAGGGGCAATGGCTTTAAACTGAAAGACAGTAGATTTATATTGGATATAATGAAGAAATTTTTTTATTATTAGTGTGGTGAGACATGGGAAGAGGTTGCCCAGGGAAGTTGTGGATGCCCCATCCCTGGAAGCAACAGAGTTCAGATTAGATGGGTCTTTGAGCAACCTGATCCAGTGGAAGACAGATGTCCCTGTCTGTGGCAGGGAGGAGTGAAACTCTGATCTTTAATTGTTCCAGCCAACCCAAAATGTGAAACTTAGTTTGCTTCTAATACTGAATACTATAATACAGATTATTTAGCGCAAAGTTTTTTTTATAGCAGAATCTCAGCTTTGATTTAACAATTTAATTTAAACGGCTAGCACATCTCCTAATTTCACTGATTTAGCTGCATCCAGGATGCAGTGTACATGGTTCTTATCACTGACACATCAGTAAGTTTCCATCTGAGGACAGAAGTTTCTCAGAGACTATAATGAGACTTTAAAACTCTGTTATGAGGTAATGCATATTCTAAAAGAAAACCTTCTGAAATATGATGTGACTCTCAAATTAGAACATAGCCCTTTAAATAGTAGCATATTAAAATATAATATTCCTTTATATCACTAAACAGTATGTTTGGAGTTTCTGTGATAGTACAATTCTTCTCTTCCTCAGAGTTTTATTAATCAAAAAAGAAAAGAAATAGAAGATGAAGCTGTGTCTGAACCACTTATGCAAAAACATGAACAAAAGATTAGACACTTTGGTGAGTCTGCTTTTCCAACATTTTGCAGTCCCTACAGTATTTATGTTGGTTTGCTCCTTCTTGTATAGAATGAATGCTAACAAATGAAAGACGTGGATAAAGACTGTTCAGCTTTATTTTATCAAGACAGATAATAATTTAAAAGTGAAACAAGGTGTTAATTGAAGAAACTTGTTAATTCCTGTGACCAACAAGAACTCCAATTGAAAAAATAATTAAAAATTAATACTCAACTGAGCTTAAGCTGTCCTGGTTTCAGTTGGAACAGAATTAAACTCTTTTTAGTAGCTGATACAGTGCTCTGTTTTGGATTCATTGTGAGAATAATGCTGATAACACGATGATTTGGTTGTTGCTCAGTAGCTCTTACTGTAAATCAAGGAGTTTTCATTGTCTCGTGCACTGACATCAGGTGCACATTAAGTACATGAGAAACTGGGAGGGAGCGTGGCTGGGACACCTGACCTGTACTGGCTAAAGGAATGTTCCACACCACAGAACACCATGCCCAGGATATAAATGAGGGAGTTGACTGAGAGGATCGGATCATTGCTCAGGAATGGGATGGGCATCAGTCAGGGGGTGGTGAGAAGCTATATTGAGTGTCGAGTGTTCCTCTTGAGTTTTTTCGTTCCCTCTCTCTCTCCCCCCATGCCCTTTTTCTCCCCCCACCCCTCTTTTCTGTCCCTCTCCTCTGCTCTCCCCCTCACCCTCCTGCCGTCTTCCCTCTTTTTCATTACAATTATTATTAATACCAGATGAAACCAGGACAAGCCATGAAAACTACAATTCTAGCGACTTTCTCTGCTGTTCAGTGGGAAAAGGCAGGGACATTCATGGAAGTACAAGTCGTGTATGAAAGGGCATGGGATTGTCCATAGCTCTCTCCTTTTAATAAATGTTTTTCTGGCATCTGTTAAGCTACAAGGGTAATGACTGATTAATGGACATGTTTGTAAACACCTACTGTAAGTATGTGTGCACAGAATTGTGCGTTTAAAACTATACTCAATTATCCACTAGGTGTCACTTTAGCTCTGTCATAATTATTGAATGCAATTAAGCACAAAGCTAATCTTTCAGTAATCTGTAATTTTGATGGTTCTCTAAAGTGCTTTCCATTCTTAGTTACATGCTGGTTTCAGACTATAGTATAGTGTAGCCATATTTAGAATTCCAGAACAATCAAGAACAGGATGGAGTTGGCAAAATTGAATTCTTTCAACAAACTTGTTTTTACTAAGCTATTTGGCTTCTAAGGCTCTTAAAGCTGTTTTTAAGAAAAGGCTTCTAGCCCTGTTAGCCTTAGCAAGCCTTGCAAGTACCAGGTTGAGGCACAATGCTGTCAGAGTATGCAAACAGTAGTAATAGGTGCAGGTTCTCTCAAGGACCTTAACTGCTCAGTGTAATAATAGTGGAATCAGAAGACATCTGCCCTGCCATGCACTTCAACAAGAAAAAAAAGAGGCTTCCTTGCAGGCTTCCTAGCTGAGAGTTCTGTAAAAGTACTCCTTATCAATCAGATTAAACTGTGACAGAAGCAACCTTATTAAAGAGGATGATACATATTTTCATACCTCCTAAATTCAAAGCCATGTTGTTATTTTAATTTGAAATACATAAGTCCATTGTAAAAGCAACAGTACATTAACACTTTTTGAAGTCTCTTGTTCCATGCTAAGTGGTGCCAAGGGGCAGTCTGGACTTCACTAGTGCATGAGTCCTGTTTCTGAATCCTGCTCTGGCTTCCAAGCAATAAAGAACTTACACAGAATAACTTGAAAACAGGAAGAAATATTAGCTGTTGCTTTCTATTTAGGGATTTGTTTGCTAGAATTAAGATGAGCTTAGGTCATTA